TTTGAAGAACCTGTAAATAAATCACATAATTCACATCCTACCACCTAACATAGTCTGAAACTCCCCAAGACATGAAGGTCTATGTGTCTGTGTGCGTGTTTGTGTGTATATTAGCATATGATATTGGCTATTGTTCTTTAGGAAGCCCATGAGATCTAAACCTATGTCTTATACATTCTCAGTTAGGTTGTTTTTCCTCTACTGTTAAATGGGGATATGAACAGGTGGGACAATTACTGGCCAAGCCTGTCATTGCTTAAGAATGTACATTTAGAAACATCTATACCATCAGAGGCACTGATTTCCCCTCATTCTTACTTCAGTGAGTTTGCTAATTATAAAAATTTCCGAGGCACAATATATCCGAACACCTGCTGCTCTTGTTTAGTTCTGAATCTCTTCCAGACTTGTAAATCCTTCCTCTTTATTGCCGTTCAATAACAAAAAAGCAGGCAAATGCAATACTCAGACTAATCCAGTACATGCCCAGGGTGGGTCCTTTCCAGATTTCCTGGCCTGAACAGCACTCAGTCCCTGCCAGCTGAGCACTGACTCTGACCAAACTCATCTAGAGCAAAAGACAGACACCACCAAAGGGATGGCAGAGGGAGGAGCGGAAATAATTACGTTCAGCAATTGCACCCCAACCAAAGGTAAACCAATAGTAATCAGAAGGTACTACTGACAAACCTGGACCATGCAGTGTGTCTCGTGCCTGGCAACTAAATTAATTTATGTGCAAATATTTAACCAGCTTTTCAAACACAAGTATTTTGAAAAAAAATAGTCCTCTGCTTTAAAAAGTTGAAATTTGTTGGAGACGTGCAGTCTCAGTCACCTGGAGGTACAGAACTATACCCGAATTCTCACCACAAGTCAGTTGCACAGCTGGGAACAGAACGTTCTAAACGTTTTTCTGTCTCTTCTTATAACTTACAAGCAATTTTATGGCCAAAAGTCCTGAAGACACTAACGCAATTAAATCTACTGGGAATATTTTCCTATAACAAAAATGGTGTCACCATCCACATAACAGCAGGTGATTTTATTACAGTATTTAGAACAGGCAGAATTCTAGCATACCACATTTGGAACTCCAAGATAAGTTAACTAGATACTACTAGGAACGAATCCCCACTGACATGTATTTATACAATGGGTATACAAAAAGAAATGTTATAGTACAAACCACTTAAGATGAACTAAGCCAAACCAAGTTCTAAATACACATGAATTTCCCTGAAATAAGAAGACTTATTAGTTTTTTCCAGTGGATGGAGTTAGCAACTGGATTTGGAAGGCAACAAATAAACTAATGGAAAGTCATCTCAGGCTGGGAAGTTTTAAAGTTCATAATATGCACTCGAAAAGTAGAATTTCTTTTTCCCCCACCCAATCTTGACCCATTTTCTGTTTGAGCAAAACTGAGCTAGCTAGCCACTTAAAACTTGGAAAGCTGTCATCTTCTCCACACGAGTCCCCACCCAACAATTGTACAAGTTGCTGAGGCATCTATCAATACACGTGTACACTGACCCTTAGGTATTTGCTTTTGCTACCACAAATAATGATACCAAGCTATAGCAACTGTAATTTCTAGTAAGCATATACAAGAACAACAACAAAAAATAATTAAGTCCATGATAAATTGACTGTTATTCTGTCTTGGGCTAAAGAGTCCCTCAGGCCAATTTAACTACATTATTACTTCATTTTGAAGTATCAGAGCCTCTTTCCTTAGAGAAATGTCCAATACTTGAAGTCTCACAATTGCATGCTTTTTCATTAGGAAATTTGAGTTAAGATCCATTTCTTTAAATAAATCAGACATTCAAATTATTTACCGTATTTAATTGATTCAAGCACAGCTCACTTAGAAATGCAAGCAGTCTCCTTCACTGACAGTCAAGGTTTAGTTTTGTTGGGTTTTTTTGTTTTGTTCAAATACAAGCATTTTGCACTGTCTTACAGTAAAACTTGCATTCTTTTATAATAAAGGCGATGAATAAATAAAAGCATTTTGATTTAAAAGTCCTTTTCTGTGATTATGTCATCAGGGAGGGATACACCTCCCTTCTGGTGTGTGTCCTTGAACACTGTTTCCAAGCTGACTCCTTAACGCATGGAGCAAAGCACCATGAAGAACTTTGTATGCTCAATATAATCTTTAATTCTCATATCAAGAGGCCACTTGACGGCTTTCCTACCTCTTGTTTGTGAGCCGTAGGGCTGTACACTCTTGTTGGGAAGTCATGCATGAATTCAGGGAACATCTGGATCACGAAAAACAAACTGAAATCCTAGTGAAAGGGATCACTGCAGCTTTAACATTGCTTTATTTTAAATTAAATTGTATCTAGGTGACTATAAAGCCCACGTTTGGAACATGTGTGGCTTTTCAAATAGGTCCAGCAGACCTGCAGTAGGATCTTGAAAGATGGAAAACTCCCTCTTTCCTGCCCAGCCATGGCTCCTCCTCGTTTCTTCAGCTATTTGCTACTTTGGTTTCTTCTCCTGCCCTCATTCATAAAAAACCAGACACCTGTGCTTTTTAGCAAAGTATCAACCTCTTCCACTGTCTTAATGGTTCCCCAAAGCAAGAAATGCAACATCCAATTTCAACATGCTACTTGTTACTGGATTAATAGCATCTAGGGCTTTTGAAAACCACACACCACTAGATGTATTTAAGGACCTCAGTACTAGAACTAACACTAAGCTTGTCCACGTGCCCTCACCTGTGCTGTATCTTCTGAAAACAGAGCCCACTCAGAGCCAAATCTGTCTTGAACTGGACTTCCAAAATGTAAGGTCCCTCCAGAATCATTAGGCTCTTTGAAGATGCAAATCCTTTATTACATAAACATTGGTTCCTACTATCCTTTTTGGCCTTTAAAAACAATTCCACTTGTGACATGACAAGAATCCTGAAAGACAATGCTACGCCCTGATATTCCCATGAAATTGGTTTTTGAGGACCCCACCACTGTCCCTTGAGGCTACTCTGTCAGGGCTGTGACACCATGACTGCCACACTAACTCTGAAGCTCTGCACCCTTCCTGAGCTGAAAGCAGGCACATCCCATGTCAAAATCCTTTTCTTACTAAGCTAAGCAAATGACATCTAGAAAGCAAATGGAAACTAGCTTCCTCTCATCCAAATTACACAAGAAAACAAGTCAAGGAAATTCCCAACATATTTTTGTTTCTTCTCTATAATCTCAGCATTTAAGTATTTAAATATTGATCCAAAATTATGCCTGCAGGGCAAGATGAGACCTTCTGAGTCTAAACTCAATAGTAAAACATCCAAGCAGTTTTGGTCATGCAGCACTCAGGTTTCCAGCACACTGTTCCAAAGTTCTCTGTGAATTCCCATCATAATGCTTGCAACAATACAGCATTTAGATACTTAACAGCCCTCTTCATAAAAATAAGTAATTCTCAGCTGCATTTTAAAAAAATAAAGGATACTTAAAAAATACTCATTTATCTAAGTACAAGGATTATAGTCAAATACATTTCAAAACACTTGGGATGTGACAAAGCATATTTTTTTAAGCATTTTAGTTATTTTTTGGAGTAGCATTCAGGGATCAGCAATTTCAGCACAATAAAATAACCTTATGAGTAACATCGGAAAGTAATGTTACAGATGATGATGCAAACTTAATAGATATTAACTTCCCAGGGTTAAAAACCAGATGTAACAATCCACTGCTAAAAGCCTCAGACTCCAGACAGACTTGTCATATTTTTTTTAAAAAAGAATTCCTATTCCCACGCAACGCACGCTCATAACTCTGTAAGCATGCTTTAGAAAACAAACTGGACTGGATGCAACCCTGAGCAACTTGATCTAATTTTTAAATTGGCTCTGATTTGAGCAAGGAACTGGATCTACAAAGGTCCTTCCAGACTAAATTATCCTGCAATTCTGACACACAAGAAGTTTTGCAAGCTACAGAAGTCTGTTTTCCCTGTGGAGCCTCCAGCTCTACAGCTGGATGCTCCAGTGCCGGCATGGTGGGACGCTAAATTGTTCTGGAGGTTCCTTCCCTGACAGTGTGCTGCACCTGTAAGGACTGTGCTCAAACTAGAGTCTTTCAAAAAGTAACTAATGGGATCTCTCTCCTTGACATGATTGCCTGCTTTCACGAATCCTGAAGGTGTTTAATACCTTCACAGGCACTGTCTTGATCATTCCTGTCAAAACTGAACAAAATTGGCCAACATTTTCCAAAGATACTAGAGAGACAGACAAACAAGAAAGGCAGCATAATCACATACACATCATTTCATTAGGGGGTGGGGAGGGAAAGACCTCTACACTATGACAAGTGCTTCAAAATTATCTTGCTCTCACTGAAATTAAAGGGAAAAGGTTTTCTGCACTACAGGGGAGAAAAATATAAATATATGGCTACACTTACACTTCCCTTTCTCTGAAACAAAACCATCCTATTTTACCACAGCATGTCCTGGGATAATAACAGCAGGAGTGGGTTTCCCCTGTCACGTGACTGTATGAGGAGCCCTCAAGAACAGTGGGCCAGGAGAAGTTTTCTTTATTCTGTCCACTGTTACTCCCTTATGGAGAGGGGCAAGCTCCTGTGTCCTCTCCTGGAGCCAGCCCTGTTCCTCTGGCACTAACAAAGCCTGGAAAGGAAGCCAGCGCCAAGGCTTTCATGAGAACCTCCTCCAGGAAGGGAAGAATCAGAAGGAGCAGGAGCTTTCTCATCCTTTCCCTTATTCAGTCTCCTTCCTAACTAACAGCACAAGCAAGCACTTGAAACAAGCAAATGACCTCACCTTGTGCTGCCCAACCTTGTCAGCACAAGTCTTTACTATGTCATGGAGGAGCACTGACATCAGCAACAGCAGGGACTGTACAAATGAACCAGAGCTCGGCAACCACTTTTTATGTCCACTTCTGCTGACAGTTCAGGATCAGACAGAGCCACAGACCTTCTAGGGAAATAACATAGTCCAAACTTGACCTGATTCCTTTGTGCTATCTTCTGTCCTTTCTTCCAGCGGAGAATGGGCTTGAGAGTTGGCAGGTCCTTGTCCTCTTTTCCTCTTTCTATCACATGTTCCCCAAGGCTGTATGCAGCTTCAAATACAATGGGAGATATGACATCTTTGACTCTTTTCTGTAAAAGAAAACAGAGATTTTACCTATGCATACAGGCAAGTAATTTTTTATGTACAAGCATAGAATAATTAATTTGTTTTTGTAGTCAATGTTGCTGACAGTAAGCAGGCTTCTTTACACCTGTGTTAAACAGGAATAAGGACATTATACCAAAATAAATCAGAAAATAAAAACTAAAAAAAAAGTCAACAAAAATTAGTTAGTCTTTTGGGACCTACTTGTGGTTCCATTGAATCACTGGCATGCTCCCCACACCTATAAACCAATTATTTTTTCAATAAAATCAAGACATTCGCTTAAAAAATAAAAGAAATTATGATGTGTTTCCATTAGTCCTTTGGAAGCAAAGAGTAAATCTTATTCAATTCTAGGGTTTCTAAATCCTTGATTGAGGTCACCTCTAGTGTGCACCATGTGTTAAAACTCCGTCTTGCCATATCGATGAAATGAATGAATGGCTAAAGATACCAATTTGGCTATAAAACAAGGCTACAGACACGAAGGGGCAAGAAAAGCCATCTTCCAGCATGGTTCTGAAACCAAAACTCTCAGCTCTCCCAACTCTCAGCACAGAAAAACTTTCACTAGATAAAGGAAGAAATTTTCTCAGTCTCTAGGCTTCATACCAGATGAATTATGAGGCAGGCTGAACAGGAGCCAGCAGTGTGGCCAAGAAGGCCAACAGCATCCTGGCCCGTAGCAGGAACAATGTGGTAAGCAGGAGAAGGGAAGTGATTATCACACTGTACTCGGCACTAGGTGAGGCCACACCTTGAATACTTTGGGCACCTTGCTACAAGAAAGACATTGAGGTGCTGGAACGCGTCCAAAGAAGGTCAACGAAGCTGGTGAAGGGTCTAGAGGACAGGTCTTACAAGGAGCGGTTGAGGGAGCTGGGGTTGTTTAACCTGAAGACAAGGAGGCCCAACTACCTGAAAGGAGGCTGTAGTAGCACAGCAGGGGTCAGTCTCTTCTCCCAAAACATGAGAGATAGGACAAGAGGAAACAGCCTCAAGTTGTGCCAGGGGAGGTTTAGATGGGATATTAGGAAAACTTTCTTCACTGAAGGGTCTGTCAAGCCTGGGAACCGGCTGCCCAGGGAAATGGCTCAGTCGCCATCCCTGGAGGGATTTCAGAGACCTGTAGATGTGGCACTTAGGGCCAGGGTTTAGTGGTGGGCTTGGCAGTGCTACGTTAATGGTTGGACTTGATGTCCTTACGCGTCTTTTCCAACCTAAATGATTCTGTGATTTCAATTACATGGTGCCACATTATTCATCTGATGGGATGAATCCTTATTATTAATTGTCTTGTTGTTGGAGGCCAAGCCACAAAACTCATACCATTTGTCCCAACATGCAATGCCTAAAGCCAGTTTGCTCTGTGAGCAAAATGCTCATTGTGCTCTGTTCAGTCTTCACTTCCAAAAGCCAATCTACCAGAAAATAGAGGTAGCAAATGCCCTACCTTTTCATAGGCAAACATTCCCCTTAAATTTTAGCTACTTAAAAACTCAGCGTGAATTCAGTGCAGACAAAACTGATGCAATAAATAAATAACATAAGTTAGCACAAGTTTTCCAATGGGCCAACTCTCAATTTTGCCTTGTATCAGTTGCAGGCTTCTCTGAACACAGCCTGCCAACCGCAACAGGGAATTGAGATGCAATGTAATTTAAACCGCATCTTCCAGATGTGGGAAATCTGGGCACTAATTGGCTTTCTGAACACCCTGTTTGATCTCAATGTTCTCAATGACTTCTTTGCCTCGGTCTTCACTGGTAACCCCCTTCCTCCTAGTTCTTGTGTTGATGACAAAAAAGTTGGAGACCAGGGTGACAAAGTCCCTCCCACTGTAAGTGAAGACAAGGTACGAGATCAACTCAGGAGCCTGAAGATATACAAGTCCATGGGACCTGATGAGATACATCCCAGAGTCCTGAAGGAACTAGCTGATGTAGTTGCCAAGCCACTTTCCATGACATTTGAAAAATCATGGCAGTCAGGTGAAGTCCCTGCAGACTGGAAGAAGGGGAACATCACACCCATTTTTAAAAAGGGTAGAAAGGAGGACCCTGGGAACTACCGACCTGTCAGTCTCACCTCTGTGCCTGGGAAGATCATGGAACAAATCCTCCTAGATGCCATGCTTGGGCACATGAAGGACAGGGAGGTGATCCAGGACACCCAACATGGCTTTACTAGGGGCAGGTCCTGCCTGACTAACCTAGTGGCCTTCTATGATAAAGTGACTTGGTCAGTAGACAAGGGGCAACCTATGGATGTGATCTATCTGGATTTCTGTAAGGCCTTTGACACGGTCCCCCACAACATCCTGATTGCCAACTTGGAGGGGTATGGATTTGATGGGTGGACTGTTCAGTGGATAAGGAACTGGCTAGATGGTCGCATCCAGAGGGTGGTACTCAATGGCTCAAAGTCCAGATGGAAACCAGTCACAAGTGGTGTTCCTCAAGGGTCCATGCTGGGGCCGGTGCTGTTTAACATTTTTATCAATGATATAGACAGGGAGATTAAAGGCACCATCAGCAAGTTTGCGGACGATACCAAGCTGTGTGGTGTTGTCGATACACCAGAGGGATGGGATGTCATCCAAAAGGACCTGGACAGGCTGGAGAGGTGGGCCCAGGTGAACCTCATGAGGTTCAACAAGAGCAAATGCAAGGTTCTGCACCTGGGCCGGAACAATCCTCGCCACCAATACAAACTAGGGGGTGAGGTGTTGGAAAGCAGCCCTGAGGAAAGGGACTTGGGGGTGCTGGTGGACGAGAAGCTGGACATGAGCAGGCAGTGTGCAGCTGCAGCCCAGAAGGCCAATCGCATCCTGGGCTGCATCAAAAGAAGCGTTGCCAGCAGGTCCAGAGAGGTGATTCTGCCACTTTACTCTGCTCTGGTGAGACCTCACCTGGAGTATTGTGTGCAGGTCTGGAGCCCTCAATATAAGAAGGACATGGACCTGATGGAGCGGGTCCAGAGGAGGGCCACAAGGATGATCAGGGGGATGGAGCACCTCTGCTACAAGGACAGGCTGAGGGAGCTGGGGTTGTTCAGCCTGGAGAAGAGGAGGCTCCGGGGAGACCTAATAGCAGCCTTCCAGTACCTGAAGGGAGCCTACAGGAAGGCTCGGGAGAACCTGTTTAGAAAGGCCTGCAGTGACAGGACGAGGGGCAATGGCTTCAAGCTGGAGGGGAACAGATTTAGACTGGAGATTAGAAGGGGGTTCTTTACTGTGAGGGTGGTGGAGCACTGGAACAGGTTGCCCAGGGAGGTGGTTGAGGCCCCATCCCTGGAGATATTCAAGGAGAGGCTCGACGAGGCCCTGGGCAACCTGGTCTAGTTGGGGGTGTCCCTGCTGACTGCGGGGGGGTCGGACTAGATGGCCTTTGGAGGTCCCTTCCGGCCTGGGCAATTCTATGACTCTATGATTCTATGATCTGTTTCAAGGCAACCATTTGCTTTCTCTAATACAAAGCCTGGCCACAGATCTTTGAAATCAGACAAAGATTAGTGGCTAATCAAATTCCCAAATCATCGGTCAGCTGTGTGAATAACAGCAGAAACCAAGTTGGGTGACATTTTTCTTCCTGCACCCTGATGCCTCCAGCCAGCCTCTGAATTCCCTTCCCTGTTACCAATGTCTGCCAGTGCCCGTGCCCAGTAGCAGCCCAGAGCACCCAAAGTTTAGACTGTGGCTCTGCTTGGAGCAATTTGTGCTTCCTCAGTAACAGACATAGAGGCAGTGGTGATGGCAGCAGGCAGCTCTGTGATACTTTCCCCATCCCACAGAAAGAATCATGCACCCTCTAGGGTGCTGCTAATACCCTTGGGGGAAGAGATGCTGACATCTTCAGCCCCTTCTACAATCCCACCCTCGGGGTATGAGGTGTAATATACTAAGATTGCTAAATAACAATATTACAACTCACAGAAGCTACTAGCTTTGCGCTCACAGAAAATCGTGCAGTTACTTAGGTGAGGATTGTAATAGCATGCATGTACACAGAAACAAGGCTATAAAAAATCCATACCATGCAGCAACAGTGAAACACAATAAACCATCAGGCAAATCACCACCTAATCCAATTTTATGCAACCAAATGTGTAAACATAGAACAATTAAAAGTGTAGAGAGTGAAATTAAAATCCACCTATAGTTTTTCTAGCTTTTTACTGCAGTAATACAATAATAAGCGCTTAATTACTTCTAAGTGTTTTAATATGATCTTGCAGGGTTCAGCCCAATGCCCTTTGAAGTAAAAAGACAAGTTTCCCATTGACTTCAATGAATGCTGGAGTGTGCGCCTATTGTTGGCTGGTGTCTCTTTCTGCTTTGTTTTAGTGGTGAAACTGTGACTTCCAGCAGCTAGATTAATTACATGTGTGGATATTCCCTCCCCACAGTCCTGGGGAAATATATTTCACATACCCACTTGGCTTTAATTAAGGATGAAAGTATGAATGCTACCCAGTTATTAATTTTGCCACATGTTCAGTCCCTTCTGCTCAGAATCCTACAAACATGAAGGTGAGAGTCTGTGGGATTTGTCCTCAGTAAGACAGAGAGAGACAAGATAGTTCTGCCTCGCAGGTACACCACAGACTGTCTGGGATGTGAGCACATAGAGAGAATAATGAATATTTGCTTGTATGCAATCTGGAAAATTACTATTTTAGCTTCAAAATACACCCAGTTTCTTTCTCTTTCAGTCTACCCAAATGTACTGTTTCCAGTGGTTGAATCATATACTGATGACACAGCCCATGGTTTACTTTTAATTATTAAGTATTTAAGTATTAAGTATTTTAAGCATTCCTGCTTTCTAAAAGGAAATCAAAAGATGCAATGACAATCAGGTTTGAGGCAGACTGAAAAATCCTTCAAGTCAAAGAAACTGTATGTGTTCCTTTTCCTACCTGTTACATGGCCCTAATGAAGTGGGTTTGCCAAGGGAAATAATTTCCACTAGCAGCTTTTACA